TTTTACTTATGGTATATCAATATGGGGAGGAACTTACAACAATCATCTATCTAGATTATTAACAACGATAAACTGCATTATTAAATATCTTCTAAATGTATCATCTCAAACAAGTACTACATTAATTTATAAAGAACTAAAAGTCAAGGATTTTAGGTATATTTTTAATTTTAATACACTAATTGTACTTTATAAAAATAAAAATTTAATTATCCCTTTCGATCATGATCATCATACAAGATATAAACATAATATTAATATATGCCTACCTAATTATAGTAAAGTTTTTGGTCAAATGAGTGTTTTATATAACGGTCTAAAACTATGTCAAACCTTAAATATTAACATTAGCCATTTTGATAATTTGAAATCATTCAAAAAGTATGTTAAAAATCTTGATCTGTCTATTATATAATTAATATGTTGTTATAATTATTTTTGTTCTAAATACTCTTATCTTTTACTCTGTTTAAAATATTGTATATCTATACTCTGCTACTTCTTAATGCCAACTATCACTAATTTATTATTTATGTTTTTATTTTAAGTAATATAATATAAGAACCGCTCCCCCAGCACAAGCTTTGCTTTTAGGGGGTGCTGCAAATAATTATTTTATGTACTTATACAATGTGTCACTTGTTGTTTTTGCAAAAATATATATTATTATTATTTGGTAGTTTAATATAATAAAATGTTGAATATTAATTCATTGATATTTAATTACTGCTTCTTTATGGTTAAAGCCGATGACAATGATAGTATCTATTCCAATGACCCTATGCAACAAAACTTGGCATCTGATCATAGTACTTCGTCAGGATCATCAATAGCACACTCTTTTATTAAGAAGAAATCATTAAAAAGATCCAGAAGTTAGTACAATCAAAAACTTAACAAAAAAAATATATTAGGGCATTCTTATTCTTTGAACAAACTCCTTTTCAAATTGGTGTTAGCCTACCTTTTTTTTCATTCTCACCTTTTTTCAAGAGGTTATGTTCATTAAACTAAGCATATAACATATTTTACTTGATAACATGATGAATATCTATATAATGTTAAATTTTTATTTTAGACCATGCTAAAAGTTCTAGTTCAACCTAACCTAACCTAACCTAACCGCGTCCTCACCTACATCAAAATTTAAAAGATTGCCATCAGCAACAACTAAAAATATTAAATTACAAAATAAAAAAATACAGTCTCTCACAAACTTAAAGATCAATGTACTTCAAGGAAGCAACAATAAAAAAGGTAAATACAGCTTTTGCATTTACATAGATTTAGTGAGTTTTATTAACTTGGCACATTTCTAAATTAATCTACCACTAAACTGATTTTTTTAAAATTTAAAATGTTAATAATATTTAACTATTTATTGTTTTTAGCTCAAACTTCTTTAAACATCAAAAAGATGAATCCATGCTGAACATGTGGTTGTACATGCTCTACAGGTATATTTTTAGTTAAATTCTCAAGGCATTCATGTATAAAAAAAACCATTGAGTATTCTGAATCAAAACAGTTAACAGTTAATTTCAACTAGATGGATATTCTAACACTTTCCTAAAAATACCATATACAATTAACTGATTAACACATTTAATGTTTGGCTATTAAATAGTTAAATAGATTTAATAGGTGTTAGAATCATTAAGTTACCTAGTCACATACTTGATTAGTATACTTTTAAGTGATTATCAACAAAAAAAATGATTTGATTATGTTAACTACCAATTTCACATATCTAAATTTTTGTTTGTTATAGGTATGTCTGCTTCAGAAGCAGTTACCAAAGCTCAATTAGAATCTACCAGAAGAAGTATAGAATACATAATAACCCAAGAAGCCAAAATAACGAGACACTTATTTGCTGCCCATAATATTGTTGGAGATATCGATAAAATAATGCAAGATGAAGATGAACAGATAAATGACATGCCCAAATTGAACTTGAAAGATTTTCAGGATTTTGATACTCAATTGAAAACTGACCTTGACCTAATAAAGAAACTGGTAAAATTGCTTCTGAAACTACAGTTTTATTTTATTGATGATTAATTGATTTTTTAGAAATGTTTTATGGTGATAAACATAAAAAGTGGCATGAAAGTGACAGAGAATTTAACTGCGGTCATGCCGCGAATAATATCAAAAGATGTTCAACTTTTATACAGTGGTTTTGGGAGAGAGACTAATGGTTGTAAAAACTGAATTTTTCAGCAACACAGACTTACAAATACTTACTAGGTATTCAATATTATTAATATTGTTTTGTAAAATTATATATTTTCTTTTATTTATTTTTGTATTTCAGAAGTCATTAGTACTAAGGATCCAAGTCTAAAAATTAAAGATATATCAAGTCAACTTAGCCGATGGTTTTTAGGTGCCAATGACCGTGAAGGTGGGAAGAAAGAAAGGCAATATTATAAAATGAAGAAATCCAACGATAGTACAGAAAAAAAAAATGATTCTCCTGATTGTATATAAACAAGTTTTGTCATTAAATTGTTCATTAAAGATTAAAATATGTTCTCAGAAATATAGTACAGTTTGATAACTAAGAGTATTTTATTGTTTAAGCTATATGCATAAAGATGCCAAGGTTAAAATTTACTATGAATTAATAGTTACTACATTCTAAAAATTTGATTATTGTTTAGCATCTAGAATCAGTTATAGTTCAAAATACTGTTATTTTAATGGCCTCAATAAATTTCCTAATTTAGGGAATACTAGAAATTGTATTAATATAGTATTTATATTATATATCGTAATGTTATGATAAAATAAGGTACCACTAGACTAGTACAGAATACTATTGTACCTGTAACAATAGTTGCTACTGCATCAGTTATGTAACTTAGGTACTGCGCCAGTTGCTAGTCTGTACTGGTCCAGCATTGAAAGTTAGTACTGAATACCATTACCATCTCGGACATATACCAGTACTGGTACCAACACTGGCTGCCAGCATTAGCCAGTTCTGGCACAATGATTTACCAGTTGCTAGTCAGTACTATTCCAGTACTAAATGTCTGTACTGGTCCAGCACTGAAAGTCAGTACTGAATACCGTTATCATCCCAGACATATGCCAGTACTGGTGCCAACACTGGCTGCCAATAGTGTGCCAGCATTAGCCAGTACTGGCGCAATGCCGCGCCTGTTGTGTATTTCCGATTGGTTAGGTTAGGTTACGTCGATCGTCACACCGTTAGGACAATATGAATATGTAAAAATGCCGTTTGGGTTAACCAACTCGCCTAGGGTATTCGGTCGATTTATTCAATTTGTTTTTCACGAGTTAATCCGCCGGGGCGACCTATTAGTATATCTAGACGATATGATGATTGCAACCCAAAATTATACTGAACATTTCACAATATTAAAAGAAGTTTTCCGTTTGGCAGCGAAGCACAACCTACAATTTCAGTTAGATAAATGTTTTTTTGATTTTAAAGAGGTCGAGTACCTCGGGTATTTAGTAAATGAACACGGTATACGTCCCAGTTCGAGACACATCGAGGCAATGCTTACCTATCACATTCCAAAAAAACAAGTAAGACAATTTCTAGGATTAGCCAGCTATTTTCGCCGTTTTATTCCTAATTTATCGACAGTTGCTAAGCCACTTTACGATCTCGTTAAGAAAGATACACAGTTATGTTCGGAGATACGGAACAACACGTTTTTAGATTTTTTGTGTACAACACTGACCGAGTCACCGGTATTGGCTATTTATTCACCCGACGCAGATACAGAGTTACATTGCGACGCAAGCTCGTCAGGGTTTGGTGCAATATTACTTCAAAAACAGAAAGATAGCATATTAAAACCAGTATTCTACTTTAGTCAACGCACGTCCCCGAGCGAGTCCAAATTTCATAGTTTTGAATTAGAATGTCTCGCCGTAGTATACGCTATTAAACGTTTCCACGTTTATTTAGCTGGCATAACGTTCAAGGTTATGACTGATTATCATAGTATAACCTCACTTTGAGTAAGAAAGAAATTAACCCCCAAATTTCTAGATGGGTGTTATTTTTACAAAACTACAATTTTAACATATTTCACCGCCCAAACAAAAATGTGGAGCACGTAGACGCATTCAGTAGGTGTCATGCTATTTTAATTTTTAAAATCTAATTCGTTCAATCAAGTGCTCGCCCTTGGGCAAAATACTGACGACGACATTATTAAAATTAGGGACGAGTTATCCATGAAAGATAGTAAATTATTTGCGTTACGGAATAGACTAGTCTACAGGAAAGAAAATAAAGATGTTAAATTGTATGTACCAAAGTCTATGGAGTCAAATATCATACGAACGTGCCACGACGATATGGCACACGTTGGCTTATCGAAGGTTATCGAAAACATTTCGCGCGTATACTGGTTGCCGGACATGAGAACGAAGGTACATAATTATATCGATAACTGTTTAAAATGTATTGAATTCACGGTCCCCAGTAGAAAGAAAGGTTTTCTTAATTGCATACCTATTGCATAAAATTTCCCTCATCTTGTGCATCATGTGTTATTTTTATTATGTATGTAGTGTTATGTCAGTCATATTTATTACTTATTGTGTTATGTAAGACAGATAGTAAAGTTTCTATAAAAAAAAAAAATAATAGTAAAATAATAAACAAGTAAGACGTGTTGCTCAAGTATTACACAAATTCCATGATAAACAAAGAACACATTATTGCATTACATGCTGGTTAGAGAATCCAATCCAGACCATGTACTGACGTCACCATCCATCAACAAAATACAGCCTTAAAGTGGAATCTCGTTCCATTAGATAAACGGACAAAGGTTTTTCAATAATATTCACTTTCTAAAATATAACTTAGTATGTCAGTAAATGATTCTAACTTGAAATCGTTAATTTTCAATCTTTAATAAATTAGAGGTATGTAATTAAGTATTTTTTTTAAATAATAAGGATTATACAATACTATTATTATACCTCAATATTTGTATAAATTAGTTATAATTAGTGTTACCGACTTCAATTTCACTGTTTTTCGAACTTGTCAGCTTTATTGCATCTGTATAAATATTACAAATATGTTAATAGATTATAAACAAGTGCAATTGGACCACCTATTTGAGAAAAGACGTAAGTCACAAAATATCACAAATTGAGATATTGAGTGGAATGTATTATTAAATGATAAACGGATCATGAATGAACATTTGCAAAAAAATATTTAATTTAACCACTGTAAATAATCAGTGTGGTAGAAAAATTACTATGAATCACTGGTAGCGTAAAAACAGTTTTTTCTTGTTTCTCCGAATTACCTTTTATTGACTTACTTCATATCTCAAATAGTAGGTTCAATTCTAAGACATATAAAAAGCTAGTGCTCGAATTTGTATCTTCTAAGTATTTAAAAATAATTCGATAAATTCAAAAAATATAAAATGAAAAATAATAATAAATCTAAGTTTTAAATTTATAACGCATACACAATGATTCACCAACCGTTGTGCTTCTCCCATATTTTTCTTTAGTATAATATAATATAGTTTAGACCACATTTTCGAATTCTCGAAATATTTTGTACTATTCTACACAGAGATAAATAATTCAAAAATTCTTCGTTAAGTTAACTGTCAATATATTCAGAAAAAATTATCCACCAAATATTTTACAGTAGACAAGGGGATTCTCATTTGAAATACATCATTTTGTATCTACATAGAAAACTCCTTGAATAGTGTAAAAAATATCAATTATTTTAAAATGTAGTTTTTGAATCAGATTTTGAATAACTGCATTATTGAAAAACAAATATGTGAGTATGCTTGGTAATATATATAAGTAATATTATGTGTGAAATTATATGTACGGAATGTATTTAATAATAAACAATATTATTATTATTATTATAAGAGGTGTTTGTATGTGTTTATAAATTACCTTTACAAATGGTATCGTTCGTTTTTATCGGATTTTGTTGCAAAAATGAAAATGTCCGTTTATCTATTGGAACTGTATTATCTACAACTGTGTTTCTTTGACAGATCGTAACGTCAAATGAAGGTCTAGATCCAAGCCTTATAGATTCAGGATTTATTTTCCAGTAATCCTCTAGACCAGCATGTAAAAATGTATTCCTCGTCTTTCGTTTGAATTCATCTAATGCTTGTACCAGAATACTTTGATCAACCGCGAACTGGGATTTCGTGTTATTACTTGCATAGTAAAACTGTTCATATATTAAAATGTTCATATATTTGTTAAAACTTGAAGGGCAACATTCGATTTAAGATTAGCACAGTATTTAGTATTTACATTTAGCAATGGTATACATAATATGAATATATTTATACACTAAAATAAAGAAAAGCAATAGCAATTTATTAAAGCAACATAATCAATTGGAGTAGGCGAAAGATTCGATTGACTCATACAGTTAGAAATATTTTAATAATTCAGGTAAATAGTAGCACATAATAGTGCAGTGAACGGAGCAATATTATGGGTAGAGCGTGCAGGAACTCTAACTTGAATGTGTTGAAGAAGGAGATGGGGAGAATCAATTTTACCACACATGATATTTTACAGAAAGGTTGAGCCATGAGAAATACAGAGATTGGTCAAAGGTAGTAGGTTCAAGTTTTAGAGCACGAGATGAACGATGTTTAAGTTGAACATAGAGAAGCTGTAAAACTTGCACTGGACATGCTCGATTTGTTGGCAATGTACCATAAAGTAAAGACTATACCACAGAACTATGCTCAATAGTGGGCCTGGCTCGAGCACAGTCAAACACTAAACAAAATACCTTTTCAGCAGAGGTAATCCATAAATTAAATAGGAGAAGAAACGAGGAGAAGAGCATCTAGTGAATGACGAAAATTCACATTAATCAATGTTAAGAAATAATTCAATATTTTTAACCCACTGAAAAAATCTGTTTAAGTCCTACTATAAGCATATATAATCATCATGGACATCAATTTTAAGAACAATCTTTATATAATCATAAAAAATACAGAAGCTTGCAACAGCGAAGGACGCTTGAGATACTATTTATGAACAATAAAAATAAGATCGGAAATAGATGCCCACATGGAGGAACACTAGTCATAGCTATAAATATACGATACTGGAGCATAAAGGCTTGAACTATTGTTAACTAATTAGTAAATAGGACCGTATCGAATCTAGCAGAGGATAACCATAGAACACTATAGAAGTGACACTCATCCCTCCACTTTTATTTTCTTCATTTCGGAGCGACACGAATGATATTGTAAGCTTGGCGGTACAGCATGATATTACGAACACTTTTCTCATCGAAATGCATTGCTCAAGATCAGCCCGCCAAATTTAAAAAAAAAAAAAAGGGTCCCTGCATATTTCCACTCACTAAGATTTGTATAACCCCCCTACCACGAAATAGATTAAATTGATAATTTATTTGATGTATTTAATTCTCGAATGAAAATAAAGCCACAAGAAGACGACGTTGAATCCGACTATGAATCAGAACCTAATCAAAATAATTTCTTATTAAAAATGTTAATTTACAAAAATTTAATATATCAACAAAGCAATGGCACAACATTAAAAAAAGCTAAAACATTAAATCTCTGACAGGTTGGATGATTTCAATAGCAAGATTAATTAAATTACATAATATATTATCAAAAGAATATGATGAAGAGATTGAACTAATGACAAGGAGATTGGACCAAGATTGTTTGGAAAATTTATTTGGTACTATGTGAATTCAGAGTAGTAACTGTCTAAACCCCACAACTATTCAGTTACAGCGCATCTTCAAAAAATTATTTTCATTAAGCTATTTTGAATATAATGGAGGTACAAATTGTTTGGAAGACATAGACCAAGTACTGAGTACTTTAAATAAAATACCAGCTGAAGATTTAAAAACAATATTCCCTGAAAACCAAAATGTAATTCAAATTAATCTGTTACCCATTTTTGCTACCAATTACAGATCATTAGAATTGCCAGAACTAAATGCTTTTACATATATATGTGGATATTTAATAATGAAGTGTTATAACATGCATTCTTATGAAACGTGCATAAGATATGGCAGATCTACCACAAAGTTATCTGATGAACTTTTTTTCACACACTTCAAATCACATCAACACAGCTCTATGTCTATGTTTTCATCGTTAGAGGCTCCAGATTGTAATTTTTACCAATATATTTTTGAATTAGGCAATATATTTACAAATCAATTTCCTACTTTAGCACCATCACCAAAAGTAGGGAAAAAACTTAAAACTTTAATGTTAAATGTATACTTTGAACATCCCTGTGAACAATTCCCCCACGACTATTGGTTAAACTTATATATAAGATTTAGAATTTATACTACTTTGACCAGAACTAACCGTAATTTGTAAATACCTCGCATGAAAAATAGAAAATTGCAAAATTTATGTCATTTATAAATATTTTTATGTACATAAATTTTTTTGTTAAATTGTCTAATAGTTTGTATATTTTGTATAGATATTGTTATGTATATATTTTGTTAAATTGTCTTATAGAAGGTAGATAATTCATATTCATTGTATATATTAACATTGATTATAAATTATATTAAATAATTATGCATTTTAATAAAATCATATCCGAAAAACAAACTTACTTACAAATTTATTGAATAAATATCTTAAAAATATATTAGCCATCATAAATTCAATATTCGTATCATATAATATAAAAAATCGAAAAAAATTGATATTATATATCAAAAGAAAATTAAAATTAAATTTATAATTTTATAATACTGTTATCACATATTTATTGTATGATTAGTCGTACAACAATAATGATGTTGTAAGCTTGGCGGTAAGACAAGAAGTTACGAACCATTTCAAGGCCGTCAAGAATTCTAAACACATTAACATTGGTCGCCCCAGAGAGTCGCTTCTATTATAATGTTCTATGAGATGACCGAACCCAAGCACCGTGAATACAGATACAAGTGCATCGTGGTTCACGGAGTCTTAGCAATATATACATAAATTACGTCTACAAGGAGTCCGTAAGTATCTTATCTTATCTCAAGCATGTGTTTAGATAGCAATATAGTACAACTATTACAATCGAATTATAAATACGAGTACCTGAACTAAATAATATAAGCGTATAGAACAATATTTGTAATAATATAATATAGATATTGACAATTAATTTGAGTAATATAATATAATATAACTCGACAAATAGCTTACTGAGTAATTTTTAAGATTAGGTATATAGAAATGTTCTAATATATTTCAACAAGAAAAGGAGTCATCTTAAAATTATGTGTAAAATGCGAAAATGATTAAAATATCTTTATTTTTTAAAACAATTTGAAAAAGGTATAAAAATTATCGAAGACTGAATTATTTACTCAAGTATTTACCAGTTTTTTTTACAAAATAAACGTCTTTTTTGTTGTGATTCAAAAATGAATTCCCGTTTATTATTTAAATGTTTACTAAATATGTGTATTAGAAATTAGAATGACCTAAGCATGATATAATTATCAAAATATTTTTAATAATATTTTACTGTTTTATATATTCATTTATTTTTTTTTAGATTTATAATTTTATTTATTTTTATTTTTAGTCTTGAAAATATAATGGAATATTCTTTATATACCGTTCTCACAGCAATAATTAAGTATTAAAAAATAGAAAATACAGTCTCAATTTTTGTTTGAAGAATTTGACTTAAGTTAAGGTTTTGAATACAAATTGTACAAAACAAATAGTAAATGAAAAATAGTAACTTTTCCCCAACAATTTTACTGATTTATTGTAGTTCAACATTACTAATAGACTTGGATCTTTTCAAGTTTTACTTGATTATTATTTTCTATATCCACAGTAATAATATAATGACATTTTCCAAAATTTTAAATTAATTTTAAACTATTAATCCAACCATAATTTCATTCATAGAACAATAACAATAATAATAATTATTGAGAAATTAATTAAATCTATAGTATTACTATCAGAAAAAAAATTTTTATTGTACCTAGTATTAATAAATTGTAAAGTATGCTTAGCAAACCACCGCGAGTAACCACTCAGAGTCGTTTTCTTACTCAATGATTTACTTTAAATTCAAATTTAACAAGTCATTAGTAACAGTAACATATGAAGATTACTAAGTGATTTCTAGTTTCTACTATGCAACATACCTACTGATTAGTGATTCCCTTGGTATTTTAAAAATTAAAACGTATCTACCTACTAATAATGGTATGTTTTACTCACACCTTTACCCTCATTATTTTATTCTAATATTATTTGTAATATACTGAGACTTGATGACTACAGACCATAAATATAAATAAAAAATTAATTGGTTGTTAAAACAAACCGGTGATGTTGACTTAATAGCGTCCTTCAAAGATATCATAAGTGCATTTATAATATTGTATTTTAGTTCTAACTGATTCCAACACTGAAATATCTTCAGATGTTTAGAACTATTCAACATATCCCGATGATCTCTGTGAAGTTTTTTATCTACCCACATCAAATAGTCTTTGTTGCCCTACAAAGAAATTACATATATGTAAGAAAACCTGAAATCAACCAAATATTGAATTCGTAATAATCTTACGTCCACATTTGGTGGAGGCAATAATATACTGAATTTATTTTTAAGTCTTTTGAACACATCAATGCGTTTCGCATTGTTTTTCGGTGATGTTTGTTGGTCTTTTAATTCATCAAGCATTTCTAAAAGACCTTCCGATACGGTAATGCCTTTGTCAAATGATGTATTTGGTGATAACAGGTATGCTAGATCATTGATTTCATACCACTTCTCTACATTCTGTGATAAATGAATAGGTATTAAAATAAAATATAACAGTTTTTTAAATTAAAGTAGTTACCATCTGATGAGATTCGGCCTTATCGGCGATATAACATTTAATCTCTTCTCCATCGGTATCAGTTTCATTAGTGTTGTCCAAATTGTCATTCTTAAAAATATCGCGAATTTTTGCCAAGTTGTTTTCAAAATCGTTTAATAACTTCAAAACAAGCAATTGTTGATTCTCCAATTCGATAATTTCAGATTCATTCAATTTAGGTTTCTGTAAAATAAAATCATTTATCTTAAATTATGTTGTCAATAATTAATATCTTTAATATTCAAATTTAGCTTTTACCTCCATTAGTGTCTTGATTTTTTCTTCTAAGTTATTTATTTCGTCAACCGTGTTATTGGCCTGTTGTTCAATTATTGTTATTTCTCGAATTGATGATTGTTTTAAAATTAAAGTTTCAGGTTTACCAACAACAAATTCCTATGAAGTAACATTTTTAATTCATGAAATCATTTATTTTATATAACTTACTGAAAATAATGTATTTTCATCAAGAGCATCATCATCGGAAGGTAATAGTAAAGCCTTGATCAATGGAAATAATGTTGGTTGAGGTGACACAGGAATATCATCTGGTTTTACGACTATCTTTACTTTAGAAATACCTATTTTCTTAGATTTTTTAAATTTCTTAGATTTCTTAGATTTCTTAGATTTCTTAGATTTCTTAGATTTCTTGGTTTTTTTATTTTTGGTAGCTTTCTTAGTTTTCTTACCTTTCTTAGATTTCTTACCTTTTTTTTGTTTCTTTTTTTTTGAGTTTTTTGTTTTTTTAGTAGATTTGACAGTATTTTCAATTAATTTTGGCTCTCTGCATATTTTTAAAAATTCGTCAAAATGAACAGAACCTACAGGAGTAGAAATCGGTATGACAGTGTCAATGATTTTAATAACTTTTTTGGGCTTTTTGGTTTTTTTATTTTTGGATTTCCTCTTGGATTTGTTCTTGGATTTTATATTGATTTTCGCCATTTATACTAAGTAATTTAGCAGTATAAAATAAAATTGGTATACTAATTTAAAATAAACTTAAAAATTATATTTATTGAAATTCAATAAATTGTTTTAAAATAATACTTATCTAATATTGTTATTATTTAATACACAATATCAATATGTACCTTCGGAATCGGTTATTTGTTTTTTTTTTTTTATTCGCATAGTGTTTTAAGCCAATATCCTGAGTTTAAAATTTGAAGTCCATATTATTAAAAAAAAGTATACATATAAATCATAAACCAACCACGATTATATGATATACTATTTAAGAATTAGTAACGAAGTTTGATGAATAATCAATACTTAGTTTTAATCATCGCTCATCGGTCAAACACACGCCGTGTGCCATCACTTTATGGATATTATCTCATTTTTGTATTACATCAACATATTCCTTGTCCCTATATTATAATTATGTACTACGCATATATACATTGTAAAATATTCATACAAACAAAATTGTCATATTGAATAAAAGTGGATTTTTTTAATCTCTAATATTTAGTATAAGCATACGATTAGTTACATAAATTGAACTTGTTTCATCTTTATGAGGCCAATTTGTACAGATTATTATTGATTTAATAATATAAATCTTTGTATATGTTTTCAAAGTACAATATTATATTATAATGATTAGCAGGACCAGAATACATTAGTCTTTTTCTCATAATTTCAGAAATTATATCTAGTTTTTGAAACAAGTTTAAAACAAATAACATACACATCAATACAAATGACCAGGCATTCTAAATAATTTCACTAATGGCTACTAATTTTGTGTCAAATTTTGTCACCTTAGTTACAATGGTACATAAAATTACAAAAAAAATAACAGTTTACAATTTATACCGTGAATTCAAATTGGTAGGAGATGAAAAAATTAAATTTTAAATATATTTAAATTATAAATGTTCACATTTATTTTCTCATATTTCACACTGAGCAAAAAAATTAAACTACATCACAACGATCATCATTTATTAGTCATACCTGTACATAATCGGTATGCATTATATTATAGTTATTAAATTGTAGACGTGACTTTATAAATAGACGTAGGTATAATAGCTGAGAATAATGAGCTGCAATAAATTGGGTGGTCGACAAATTAACACATTGACGAAGCGAACTGGCATTGCCACTGTCAACAGGAACTGCCTGTCCCAGTCCCAACATACGTCATTGCTGTCCACTCCCAAAGGGTGGACACCGCATGGTTTAAGTTTCCTAATGAAAAAATGTCGGAAAACAGGTGGGCCCGCTGCAAATGGCCGTCGTCGTGAGACCGGAAAACACGTTTCATCTGACGTAAATACGACGTTGTGGTCTCAGTGAGTACTAAATAAAAATGATTTTCTCATCACGCAACTTATACTATGTTATAATGACTCAGCATTTATTTTTGTTCAAATGAAATGCATACAATTATATTTTTAAAACTTATTTAAAACGTGATAGAAAAATATTATGAAATAAATTCTTAAATTTGGTTTCTCAAGTACTGATGACTTGTGACGATACAAATGTTTTGTTGAAGTTAGAACCATACATGTTATTTTTTAGTAGAAACTACAAACAAACTTTATTTGAAATGCTAATATACTTCAATAAAGTTAATGTCTTAACGAGATATTGTTTTAGTTTTTGAATCAGCAATAATAGATTGATGATAATAATTAGTCTATTGAATACTGAAATATAGTATTATAAATATAAAATGCAATAAAATAGCACAGATGTTTATTTTAGAAAATTATTATATTTTTTAAATAGTTTAAGCATTAACATACATGCATAATTATTACAAAACATAAATCAGTAATATTTGGTTAACCACGTGATCGCTATTTTAGATTCTGAGCAGAGAGATGAATATACTAAAACTACAATGATGTGTGATTCTTTTTTTTTTGTGTTCGTCATCACGGTTTGGGAACAGTAAAAGTGCTTCAACTTTTCTGTTAGGAAAGTAAATGTAGTTGGTGCATTCGAGAGGTCAATATTTTAAATTATCAATAGTTTTCAAAAACGACAAAAAAAACAAACAAAAAATTAAGGAAAAACTAATTTTTACACAAACTGATTTCGAAAAAAATGTATTTACGTTTTTAGTGTAACTTAGATCAAAAAACTGACAGCAGATTCATGACATTTTCACTCAATGTCTGTGTTAGAATTTTCTATACACCTTACAATTTTTAAAATATTTAGAATCGTTTTGAACTATTTATATGCATGAGAAAATTTCAATTATTATTTGTTTTTTTTTTTTAAACTAATGTCAATAAAAAAATATTCGCTCTGTCAAAAAACTTAAAAATGTAATACAAGGTTCCTCGTAATTTTTTTTTAGTGGAAATTAAAAACTAAATTAAAGGTTAATCCACAATCAATTTTTATGAGAGTTCGAATGTTGAATTTTGACAACATTTGTAAAAAATCATGAAAATTATACAATTATTTCGAATCAGAAATTCATAAAAATTCTATAACTCAGATTTAAAAATATAATACAAGATAACGTATAAGCTTGTCTACCTACATCAAAACATTTTTTATTAGAAAGTCAAATTAAATTTTTATGAGCGTTTGACGTTGACATTTTTACAACCTTGGATATTCACTCAATTTCTCATGCAGCCATCTACTTATTTTGTTGTAATTCAAAAACAAATTACTGTAGACACTTGAAATTTACACCAAATGCCTATTTCATCAATTCATATACTTGATAAAATTATTTGACTCGTTTTAAGCTGTTGACGGACATTTTCAATTTTCATTTGTTTTCATTTTTTTCTTTAAATATCCATACGGGTTTATTGATTTGGTCAAAAATCATGAAAATTGAATACAAAAAAACTTGATGACATGTTACAATATCAGTTAAAAAATATTAATAATATCAATAATATAAAATTTCTCAGACTGACAATCATCTCCGCTCAGAATCGTTTTTCGTGTACAATTATATGATGTCATTGAATTTAAATTGAATGGTATTCATTACAACAACCTTCTAGACGCTTAATGTAAAGCAAAGCGACATCCATTTAAGCCACTTTTTATTTTTAAAATCAACATACAGTGTAGGTATACAGGAAGACCTGACAAATGAAATAACTTTTGTTCTCATCAATATTTCTACATTTACAGACGCGTATAGTATAACACTTTTCATTTTTATTTTTTAATACTAAAAATAAAAAGTTGTAATCCTGATATAATAATTTTTTTTTAAATTTAGAATGTTTAATTTGTAAATTTATATGAAGAAACAATTCTTGAAAAATTTCAATCTGTAAAATATTTATTTAAGTCATGTAATTTGTTTTTTACAATTTTTTTTACACGTATTATTTCTGTTAAGGAAAATTGATAAAGTCATAGAAAAAAACATTACTCATATAGTAATAACTTTTTAAAAAAGTACCTACTTGTTAAAATCTAAATATTTTTTAAAAAATCAATTAGGTACTTTTCAAATTGAAAAATCTTCTAAAAAGCTTAACATTTTAAAAATATTAACCGCTTGACTTCGATAAATGCTTTTACAATCAGCATTTTTCTAAAACCCAGTTTTACAAATTGACAATTTTGAAATTCTCAAACAAAAAATTTAACAGATTTTAAATTTGTCTTTTTATTTAGTTTATTGAATCGTCATCAATTACTAAATAGGTACACATTAAACAATATTCAATTATACAGTATACAATAATAGGTATTTTGATGAGGCTGTCCCAAAAGCAACCTTGTGAAAGAGAGCAACAAGTTAACAAAACAGTTATGCAATATAAATTAACACATAATTTAAAACAACACTCAAAATACATGCAATAAAAAATTAAATCATAAATATTTACTAAATGCCAAGTTCAGTGTGACCTATAAATTGAAACTTAATTTATACAATATTTAAATCTAAATTATTAACATAGGTATTTAAAAAATATTTTTTTACTATATTAAGTAGATACATCAAGATTTAATCTTCTTAAGAGACTTAACATGTGTACATAAAATATTGTTTTCACCAAACTATTTCTAATTAACCGGTCTATTAAGGTTTACTCAAAGTGTGAATCTTGTACGATAGTGATGTTTTGGTTTATAAAAATCAATATTTTTACCAAAATAATATGAAAGAACACTTTAAATATATGAACTAGTTATATTTTTGACATTTAATTCCATATGTAAATCCGCAACATGATAACTATATGATTTTTTATTAGAAATCTCAATAATGAATTTATTGTAACATTAAGTTTATGCATATACACAACAGCAGAATTACCCCATACTACTAAACCATAACATAATATAGATTGTACTAAAGATGCATATACTAATCGTAAATAATCTATATTGAGAATTTCTCTTAGCGAGGTTTCTTATTGTGTTAGTTACGTAATCAATCTGTAGATCCCATCTGAGATACTGATCAAAAATGATTCCTATGTATTTGGTCGAATTTACATTAAAAATTGTATCACAAACACAATTTACTCCAATACAATTTACAGAATGCATAAATAATGACTCTACATTTTTAAATCTACCATAAATTTGAAATAAAATGTTATTTTATTTACTAGAATTTAATTCTAAGTAATTTATATCAAACCAATTTTTAACAATTTTTGGTATATTATTAGTAGAGACATATAAATCAACGATCGTTTTGTTACTGACTAATATAACTGTATCATAAGCAAAACTAATTATTTTAGCACATAAATTTAAATTTAGTAAACTATTACAATAAGTAATAAAGAGTAATGGTCTTAAGACTGTCCATTGTGGTACTTATTATTAACCTACCAATGTGCCGTTAACAGTTAACCAAGTTCTAATCACATTAACAAGTCTAACTGCTTGATACCTATTCTGCAAAAAAGATGTCATTAATTGCAACGTAACATCTCTGTACCACAATGTTCTAATTTACTTATAAGTAATTTATGTTTGACAGAATCAAATGTTTTTTTGACATCTAAATATATACCAATTACTTTTTCATCATTATTAATTTTACTTCTGACATATATGTCCACACTAACTAAAGCATCATTGGTCGATTCACCTGGTAAAAAACCAAACTAATTTTTAGAGAAAAATGTGCTGTTATTAAGAAAGAAAAGAAAACGGGATTCGATACATTTTTCAAAAACTTTACTGATTGAAAGAGATAAAGAAATAGGCCTGTAATATTACCTATACATTTTTTATCACCACTTTTAAAAATCGGAGTAATTAGGCATTTTTTGAATGAAATAGGGAAAATTTCAATTTCAAAACATTTATTAAATATAATTGAAAGGGGTTCAGCAATAAAGGCAGCAGTATTTACTAAAATATGATTTGTTAGCTCCTGATCACAAAAAGAACAATTATTTTTAAGACTAATAAGCAAATTCTCAATTTCTAAAGAGTACACAGGTTTGAGAAAAATAGAATCATTCACATGAAAATTAACATTTACTAATGGATCATTAATGCATCGCTTCAGTCAGTAGGTATTCAAAAATAAAATGTGTTGAATAATAAGTAGTATAGTAATAGTAATAAGTGTAGTACACGAGCAAATAAATTATATGGTAAAACAATTTTAAAATATTAATTTGAACAAAAATTATTTGATGTCAGTTCTTTCTGTTACTTTTTTATATGAATTGGGGACAATTAATGTTTCCCATGTAATGTATTTAGAACTTTTTTAATGTTTGAAAGTATTTAAGTAACTATTAAGATGTTTTTGCAATACGTCTGGACAGGATAAGCTTTCCATGTTGTTATTATAGTATACCTATATCTTCCTATAATAAAATAGCTTTTTATATGCAGTTTTGTAAAACAATTTCTACAAAGTGCAGAATACAATTTAGCTCCAGCCACAAGGATAATATTAACTAAAATATTACCCTCAAGAGTCAATTTTTCCGACCCGTAAGTATAAAATATAATAAAACCTTCTCATTAAATTATAAAAATATATAATACTAAAAAACAGTGACGTGAATAAGCTATTGTAAAAAATAAATAAATACATTTTGGCCCTGATGCGAAATCCAAAGAAACCCGTTGCCCAGGTTTTCTATTTAGTTTAAACCAGGGTCGTCATTTTTGGAGGGTGCATTTCGTACATTCATGCCATATACCCTGTACCTACTAAAAGACCAAACGTTGTTCTAGTTTAGGCGTCCATGCTTGATGGTGCTGATCAAGGTAGTACATGCGCACATGAGCGCTATATAATACCATAAACTGTATATTACTATATATAATATATAATACACATATTACATAATACAAATTACCATAACCTCATCACAAAACCCAGCCTGCCTGGCAGGCTATATCTATTAGTATGAAGTCTATAATTCGTAAAATTTTTTTTAACACCTTTGAGCTGTCAAAAATTAAATATAGGTAACAATTTACTGAGTGTTTTAAACCAGATATCGAATTCTTTTTTTTTCAATTTCGTTGTATTTCATTTCAAAAAATGTTGATTAGTATCTATACCATCAAAATGAATTGAGTACATAGACTGATATAAAAACTTGGTAAACGCACCGGATTTACACTTTAACGCACCTATGTTTATTATTTACAGCCGAGAGGTCTTTTGAAGATACCGTACTATGTAGGTAATTTTGACTTTTTGGACAACTCATTATATTAAGTTAATAAGAAAGCAATACAATTAATAACTAATATCAAAAGAGAAAAAATAAAGCATAAAAATAGCATCAATTTTAGACAATTTTATAACTTTACAGTTTGTTATTAAATTAAATTTAAATTGTTTAATTAAAAAAGCAAAGTGAAAAATATAGAAATATTATGAATTAAGTGGATTGTATACAGGGTGATCCAAACAACTACAAAGCTCCTCAAGTCGTCAACAGGCGAAAACCTTGTAAACTAAAATATTAGGCAGGATACTAACATATCGAAAAAACCTATAAAGATATGCACCTGGAACGTGAGGACAATACACAAAGCAGGAAAAATTAATAATGCAATGGAAATGGTTAGACTTAGAATCGACATAATGGGTAAAAGTGAGATGAGATGGCCTGGAAATGGTTAACGCATCGTTGATAATCACCAAGTGTATCATTCTGGAGATGAAAATAATAAGCATATTCGTGGTGTTGGAATTATTGCATCACGCAGATTGCAAGCCCACATTATAAATTTCACACCAGTATTAGAAAGAAGAATAAATGGAAATCCAATGAATATAAACATAGTACAAGTTTATGCTTTAACAACAGACGCACAGGATGCAGAAATAGATCAATTCTATGATGAAATCTCAATCGTATTAATGCAATTTAAAAAACATGATATGACAATCATCGCGGGTGATTTTAAAATGAACGTGGAAATATAATGAAGTCATTTATAAAAGAGGAAGAGCTTATAATACTGAACACATTTTTCAAACTGCCACCTCAACGCTTGTACACATGGACTTCTCCAAAAATAAACCTGGAGTAATTGTTATTAACCAAATCGACTAAATACTTATTCCCAAAAGATTTTGTAATAGTTGTTTAGGAGTCAAAACATATCCTGACGCTGACATTGAGTCAGACCATTGTCCAGGAGTCGGGAAATTTTGAGTGAGGCTCAAAAGATGTAAAAAGATTCAACAAACAAACAAATGGGAGATGAGAATATTAACAAATAATGAACCATAAGAAAAGGTGAGAAAAACTATTAGAGAAGTTTGTAAGAAACTAGAAAAAGATGATAATCAGGGCTGTGAATTTAATGCACTTAAAAACTATTAAATATGCATGCATATATGCACTAAAATCTGACAAAATATGCTCTAAAAATTCTTAAAATATGCAAAAAAAACTACAAAAATTAAACTTTTATTTTTATTTTTTTCATTACTATAATTTTTTTATTAATTTTAGTTTAAAATATTAGTATTTTTACTTCTTGGTATAATTATATGAGTTATTGATCTTAACTAGTCTTGGTCTTCGTCGTGTACAAGATCTATAAAAGAAATATAAATTATATAAGTAATATAATTAAATATAATTAAAATTATATATCTTACCTTTAAAGTAGTTATTGTATTGAACAACCAATGATTTCTTCAGGTTTTCGAACTCGAAAGACCTCCTGTTTGGTGCCAACAAAGTTTTATATAAAGAAAAGGAGCGCTATACGTCTGACAAAGTTATTGGGCAAATTTAAAATACGTCATGTCGCTACTGGTTAAATCTTCTGGTATATCTAAATCTACGTCATTTATATATTAATATTTTTGAAATACTACACATAATTTGAAACCCTTTGTTTTTGTTGAGTACTGTTTGTAAAAATAGAATAATTTCGATAAAACTATAATAATTATAGTTTATACTATAATATTGATCAAAAAAATGTAAATATTACGAAAAAAAAAGCATTTAAACAAAAAAATTATTAAAAAATGCATTTATATGCCCTAATATATAACCCATGAAATATGCAAAAATATGCAAAATAAAATTTGGTATTTGAACTACAAATAAGTTAAAACAAATTTTGGTCGAATCCATTTTTTTATAAAGTGTAGCAAAAAAAAACATGCAAATGTATTAAATTCACAGCCCTGATTATAATGAAGTAGAAGATACAATTCAGTGCATAATAAAGGAATTTGAGACAATCAGCAACGATAATATACTGGATAGAGAAAAAAGAAAAAAAATGGATGTCAGACGAAATACTAGGCTTAATGGAAGAAATATGAAAAACGATGACGAAAGATACAACAAGTTGCAAACAAAAATAAGACAGAAAATTAGTTTAGTGAAGGAAAATTGGTTTAAGAGCTAATGTCAAGATATAGAAGCTCTGGAGAAAAAAAATAACTGCTTCAACATGCATAAGAAAGTCAAAGAAGCAATAGGTATTTTTAAAGTAAGCAACAATGGAAGATTACACGATAAAAATAATCAGATAATTTTAGACAAGCATAAAAAAATACATACCTGGAAAAATCATGTTGAAGAACTTTTCTGGGATGATAATAAATCAGAGTACCAGCCAGAGTTAACAGCTACAAATAATATGCCAATAATGACTGAGGGTATCAAAAAGGCAATATCCCAAATCAAGAATGGTTAATCCCCAGGACCGGATAACTTACAAGGAGGATTTTTCAAATTATTAGATGAGGAAGGTATTACTTAATTAACTAGGGTACTCATTAATGTATATATAATGCTGGAAAATTACACACACAATGGTTAAAATCTACATTCATAGCACTTCCTAAAAAAACCTAGTGCTAAAAATTGTAATGATTTTCTCACTATTAGTCTTATGAGTCACTTATCAAAGATCTTTTTAAAAATCATACATCGGAGAATTTCTTAAAATACGAAACTCAAATGAGTAATACATAATTTGGTTTTAGAAATGCAGTTGGTACAAAGAGGCCATATTTAGTATACAAGTATTAATTCAAAGAGCTATGGATGTCAATCATGATGTATATGTTTGTTTTATTGACTACCAAAATGCTTTCGATAAAGGTGAACACTACAAACTTATAAAAATACTATAAGTAACTGGAATTGACAATCAAAGCCTGAGTGTGATAAGCAATTTATACTGGAACGCAACATCTGCTACACCAGTAGAAGCAGAAATGTCAAACGATATTCCAATAAAAAGATTAGTGAGATGCTGTCACCACTTCTATTTAACTTATATTCGAAATTCATACTTCGCTAAGCTTTGGATGAAGTTAACGAGGGCATAAGAGTAAATAGCGAATGCATTAATAACATAGGATATGGTGATATAATACAATCGTATAGGTGAATAACATGTCGAGCCTCTAAAAATTGTAGATGGACTAGTGGATATAAGTAAAAGTTTTGGGTCATCTCGAAACATAAGCAAAACCAAATATATGGTAATTACGAAAAACCGAAATTGAAATGGAAAACTATTAATTAGGGGACAACAAATAGAAAAGGTTCAAAAGCATAATTATCTCGGTACATGGGTAAACGAAGAAAGAGAACATGGGATGGAAGTTAAATACCGGATTAGGTGGAGAAAGGTGCATTCGTAAAAATGTTTAAGATACTTAAATGTCATGATTTTTCACTGAGACTTTTTCACTAAGACTAGAATATTAAGATGTTATATCTTTCCTATTTTATTATATGGTGCCGAAACATGAACATTAGCTGAAATATTGAGTAAAAAAATTGAGGCATTGGAAATGTGGCTGTACCGCCGTATCCTAAATATTTCATGGACAGATTGAGTACCCAACATGTAAGCGGGAGCGTCATTTCAAATTTTTTCTTGGTGTGCAAACATTTAACATTTCATCTGGCGATTGAAAAATGCATATTTATATACATATACAAATGTAAGTAACCTATGCAAACCTATGTAAATATTCTTTCATTTAATTTTATAATTCTAATAACTCACAACGACTTATGCAACTCTTAAATTGCTAGCAATTTAAAGAATTAAAAGCTTATAAGCAAATAAAGCATCCAGCTAAAGCCATTTCGCTATTATTTGAAAAAAAGACAAATAAGGTATAAAATCAATAAACCTGATAAATCAAAAATATATAAAAACTAGAAAAAAATAATGAATAAGTTAATTATGATAACGCATTTGAGTATTAATGGAGGGCCAATTGTTAACATATTTTAAGTTAGTGGTGCCGTTGCAAACCCCCCCCCCCCAAATGACGCCCCTACTAGTTCAAATAATGCAAAAAGAAAAATAATTACTCAAAATTATAAAAACAAGGAAGGCTTATAGATTGCTGTAACTTAAACTTCAAGGAAAAATAGAAGGCAAGAGAAGTGCTGGTAGACGAAAGATATCTTAGCTTAAAAATGTATTTATTACTAGCTAATCCCGTGTACTTCGTTACCCGTTAAATGTACCAAATATATACGACTCAAACTCAAACTTATATAAATAATATATAATATAATAAATACAATATATGTATAAATAATTACATTAATTTTTCTAGCTTTATAAAAATAAAAATAAAAATAAATACAGATAAAAAAAAGAAAAAAATTATTGTTGATAAATAATTAATATAATAATTTTATAAGACTTCTGAGTATTTGACGTTTTATGTTTTATCTCGTGCAGAACTATATCTCTGGGACCTTTATCTTCATTAACTATTAATACAGCTACTTCATTGATGGTAGGTGCATTATATTGACCTTTGTGTTCATCTTGAGGAACCCTATCAGCATGAATAATTAACTTAAAGTTTTGCAATTCATCAAAGGATTTAGACTCTATATTAGATCTAAAGCTCTGTATGAGGTGATTATATTCACGCAAAACTGTTTGCAATGATTCAATGAGTCCTCTTTTTAAATTTGGAATCATATTTGTTCGAATAGATATTTGATCCGACTCTGACATAAAATATATTTGTAAAAATTTAGCATTATTTCCAATTTCGGGTAATAAACTACCTATTAAATGATGCACTTAACCCTGAATTTTAAAAGTGGGCATGAAGTTCCCTTCAGCTATTTCGTTTGCTCCCAAACGATGTCATTTGCAACAGAGTATTATACCGTCTAGAATTATCAAAGAAATGTTTTGATAGATATAGGGTGAGAATTATCAATTAAACTTTTAATTAATTCTGGAAGATCCTCAAATTGTTGTAATACAACTTTACCGTCAGCGCAGTAAAGTTCATTGGTTTCATCTTTCCATTTTTTTTTGCATGGCACTTAGGACATAATATCGTCATTGGTCCTATTTGAAGCGCTTTAATATTTAAATAATCAATCTCGGATTTTAATCTGCAACAACGACAACTTTTTATTATTTAGTTTATTTTTTCTATACTGTTGTATTTTTGACATCCATATTTCCTACTTTCTGGTGGATTTTTCTAAACAAAAGTGGTCCTATGACCTGCAGCAGACTATCAAGTATAACAGTAAAAAATTTCAGCCAAATAGGTTCGGTAGTTTTCTCGGTTAGCGTGGTCTAAGAAAACCCTTACCATTTTATATAATTTATTTATTATTAATTATTTATCTATTGTTTATTTGATTCGCAAACAAACAATTAATACATTTGAAAATATAATTATAATAGATATTGTCTGCTCACCTTCTATAAGCTGTGCTTGTTTTGAAGGTGATGAGTTCTTAACATAGCAATTTAAATATTAAACATAATTATAAATAGACTAAAAACATAAAAGAATAGATTAATGCGAGAGAGAAAGAAAAAAATAAAAATTTTAGTTACAATATAGTAATACCAAAAAAAAAAAAAAATAGTTACCTACATAATAATAATAAATGTAAACAATGCATAGATTTACTAATTACAATAGAACTTAGATTAGTGTTAACATGGTATGTTTAAAATGATTATAGTTATGGAAGATTTTAATATTAATTTTTAAGTCTTTACAAAGAGTAATAGCAGTATTTAATGTGCTAATGCATATCGATGTTTTTAGTAAATATGTGATCAATGCAAGATTTTGTTGTATTTGTTACACGCGTAAAGTTATTTATGCAAGAGATAAAAATTATTACTTGCCATTATGTAAGATTATCATTAGATAAATATGTGTCCATAATATTAATATTCATATCACCAGCGATAATAAAACGTTTATTATGATCATCTAAGTGTTCTAGATAATTATTTAAACTTTCCAAAAAGTTATCAATATTACTATTAGGAGATCTATATATACCTATAATATTAATAAATTGACTGTCTATCAGGGGAGATTTCAATAGAATTACAATCAGTTATCATATTATATGAAATATTAATTAATTTAAGGAAATTTTTAATAAATACGGTTACTCCATCATTCTTATTTATTATACCGAGTGAATTTATAATATTATACCCATTCAGCTCAAACTTAAAGTCATATAATAGCCAAGTTTCAGTAAGAACAATTATATAAAAATTAGAATTGTTTGAATTTAATAATAAAACTAATTCGTCATAGTTCGCAAAAATACTACGGATAATTAGAGCAAGAGCATTTATATTATCGATCCATAATTAAAGCTAGACAAATCTTCAATATACTTTGTACTAATATAATTTAAACTATTTATATATTTTATAATATATTTATCTAGAACCATGAATTAAAGATATATGTTATTAAGATACTACTATACTTACTTATACTATTTGTTAATAAATGTTTAGTTGTAAATTAATTATCCTGAGTTTTAAGGTGGCCGATTTTATTTTCAATATCTAATTTAATTTGTGGACATCTTCGACTGAATGGAGTTTTATTTATTGATCACCTTCTAATTTCCTAATGAATATGCCATCCGAGTTCGCCCAGACATACTTCCAATTATATGTATTAATAAATTGCTTAGCTAGCCAAAATATTTTTCTGTAGGTAAGTGTTAAATCATGATTATTGTAAACCGTTTTTTCTTGGAATGATGAATGTATTTGATTTGATTTCAATGGACTTTTGTTCTTAATACGTGTTTTTATTTCAGATATAAATGCTTCTTTGATATTACTGTTATTGAATTTGACAATGATTTTAGAATCCGCATTATTTTTAGTTTTTGGACAATAGGCAGATAAGATATGTGACTTTTGCAAATCGATATTAAGGTTATCTGTAGTACATTTAATTATATCAAATATATTTTAATTTTTGGTGATGGGAATTCCAGTTACCGTAATATTATTCGATAGTTGTTGCTGCTCAGAAATATTTAAATTAATTTTATATTTATTTAATTGCATTTCTAGTATCATATATTTATTCTCCATAATACTAATACTATTTTATCTTCAAGTGATTTGGTTTTAGCCAAGAGGTCATCTACTTTTTTCCCATAATCATCCAATTTTCCACAGCAAAAACTGACGGATTTCTCTAAGTCAATATTAATAACTGACAACCTCTCAAATTTTTCCAATAGTGCAGAAATATCATTTCTAATTAAAGTAAGGTAACTTTCTTCCTTTCCATTTTAAAAATTGTTTCTCTTTGAATCTAGTTTTCTTGTTGCTACATTTTTTTTTACAATAAAATCTTTCTCACATGACTTACATTTCCAGTTTTGACTGTCAGTGAGATTTGAGGTAGAGTCTAGGGGCACAGTTCCGATGAAAATATATTTCACATGATGAGCACGCAATTCTTTTGGTCGGGGAGACCTTAGTCTTGCATTCACTACACGGCATTATAGATAATGGAACACAAGTATTAATAATGTACAAACACACGTGACACACGTCCGTCCTTATTGACACATTAGATAGAACTGAAAATCTCCAGGACTGGTTTAGTATAACATCAATAGAACTTTAATTTTCTCTTTGTGCATTAAATGCTTTTATTATTATCATAATTTTGCAGTTCCTGATAATATAAAATTCCGTACATGTAAAATAAAGCACACATTTTTGATAAAAAAAAACAAACGTTATTCGATCAAGTGGTACATAAGAATGTTCAAACTATGTAGGAGGTACGTGGATATAAAAAGGTTGAGAACCGCTGCCTTATGGCATATATCTGATAGAGAAAGCGAAGAAGAAGAAGAAGAAGAAGACAAAGGAGGTATTTTCTCCCATGCCCCCTCCCACCTAAAAAGTGACCCAGGATTTTAGCCTGATAATTTCTTTAAACGGAGTGTGAAAATGTTAGCACCAATAATAAAAATCTGAAATGACGCCTCTGGTTTAAACTCAGTATTGTAGGATTTCAGTTTTATTTTTTGCTATATCAAGCTAGTAGAATGGCCCCTTGGCAATAGGCCTTACTCTCTTAATTCCTCTATTAACGTCACTGCTAAAAAATATATCTATGTCCAAGTAACACATGTGTATTTTTACATAATTACTATACACACAGGAAATGGTCCAATTATAGAAACACTCAAACGGAGTTATGTCGTTTTCTAAGCGATTTAAATCCAGACTGTGATTCAATTAATTGGAAGGGAGATTTCTTTAGAACGTTATCGTCCTTGATATTTAATTATATGGTCCAAATACTTTGTAGTGGTCGGATATCAAAAAAACAAAAGATGGCACATGTGATTCTAAAGAAGATTAATGATGTTACCAACGAATACGTGTTACTTAATTCTCCGGACAATTTTCTACAAGGAGTTCAAATATTTGTTGCCAATATGCTGTCTCCGTGGTTAGAAAAACCCATAAATTATATTTGTAATAAAGGCACCAGTAATAAAGATTCAACAAATGAAAACACAATCAATGAAATTGAGGATCAAAAAAAAATTGGTATTGAATCAAAACATTCAAAAACCAATGAAGTAATTCAAAATAAAACAAATAAACTTAGATTAGAAACTGCAAAAAAAATTAATCAAAAATCAAAAATAGGTAAATTTACAAAAACCATCGTTAAAAGCAGATTTGCTTCGCAAAACCCAAACAATAAAGCTACAAAAATAATAAAAATGAATAGAAAATCGAAGAAAGGTTTGAAATTTCCGCCAGTAGCTTCTGCGGCGGATGACTCAGAGAAAATAATTGAAAACCATAAAATATTATCGGATTCCGCCCTTGTAAGTCGTCCAGGCAGTAACAATGCAATTAAGAAAAAAATAAAAAATAATATGAAGTCGAAACACATTAAAAGTAAAAATAAACAGAAATCTAAAAAAAGTAAAATTTCAAAAACCACTGTAAAAGGCAGCTTGTCCATGAAAAACCCGGATAAAGCTACAAAAAATAGAAAAACAACAAAAAGTTTGAAATCGAAAACAGTTATTACTGCAGTACATGACTCGGAGATAATTATTGAAAACAATAAAATGTTATCAAATTCTATCCTCGTAAAGAATTTAGTCGGCAAAAATGCAAATAAGACAAAAATAAAAAGTGAAAAGAAGTCGAACATTCTTAATGATAAAAGTCTTACAAATACTAATGGTCGTGGCGAGTACACTAATGAAGAAAATGGTAACAATGGATCGACGACAGGTAATGAAAAGTTATTGAAATCAACGAAACAATTTCCAAATGACAATACATTTGTAGCAGACAGCAATAACAATAAGAAAAACCAATTCATTAACGAATATGTAGAATCACTCCAACAAGCAACGGACGCAGAGGATACTCAAGCTATTATCGACGATGGAAGGAACGACGATGGCCAAAGAATTTTAACAGTGAACAAAAGTTCGAAATCACATTATGGCGGTGACGGTAAACTACTATTATCAGAACACGGCAGTAAACCGACAGCTACGATACCAAACAGAATATCGGATAGCCATTATTATAATGCTAACGAAGATGACGGAGTACTGAATGTGACCGACTATAGTAAGCATTCAGTGACGGCGTCCCAAGATTTGTCGGGAGAAAAATATGATATTAACCGACTAAAAGGTGAAGAATTGTTACTAAAATATAATGACAAAATTTCACTCGACGTTGACAATGATGGCTACAGTGACGTCAATACGGACTATGATAATGGCTTCGACGATGATGACGGACATCATATTTTAATTATGAACGAGGATGGGGACGAATTCGAATGTAATATTTTTATTTTCATTACAATAGACAATATTAATTTAAGCTTTATTAGAAATACTTAGGGCCAGTTTTTCAATCGATTTTATTCGCCGAATAACAAAAATATGTCATTTATCGGTTTCTCAATGTCATAATAAGTCTTAATTCCTGAATAAATCAAAAATAAGTTATTTAGTACTTTTTCGACCAACTAAGAATTATTAATAATTAGTGATAATATATTGTTCCTAAAAGTTTACATTTGTGATCTATTTACGGGTATAGACTTAACTTTTTTTTCATTAACTATGATATTAAATCATCGAGTACTCAAATTAGGTATCAACAACGTATGCACACAATGCGTGTATGAATTTATCACTTGATATTCTGGGATTATCAATACTAGAGTTGAATTTGGAATCCCAAAAGAAATTGCTATTCATGTTCTAGAATACATAAATAAGTAAATATCTACACAATTAGACAGGCTGGGTGGCTAAAAAATCGACTCACTGGTCAGCACCTTGCACGTAAATCAATGTTATTAAATTTTCTGAGTATTTTTTAAACTCCTTCGTGTAGATATCAATCTAACTTGCGGCATCTCTAGGCTTCAATTTATGTGTACAAATAGTTTATTTTAAAATTAAAGTAACTATAATTAGGCAAAGTTTATACTATTACTTACACAACCTTCGGTAATCGAACTGTATTTTTCAGAAATGTATGACCAGCATTTATTTTTATTTTTCCATGGCACAGTGTTGGAAAACAATGATCCTAAACCTTGGAATCTATTTTCTAGAATAAAATAGTTTTCAATGGCATATTTTAATAAATAATAACATTTCCTTTTCTAGAGAAGAAGTGGTTCTTAGTCGTTTCTTTTGCTTCGATTAACTAATTTAAAAAAATAACTGTTTTGCTCACTTTTGTAATGACATATTATGTAGGAACTCAAAGTCGACAGTATGTTATGTTATAACAATTAATAAAATAACTACTCATTATTATTTGATTTGTCCTATTACTGATAAAGTAGTATTAGTATACATTTCAATTAGTCAAGTGAAGTTGATCAGTGTGTAAATTCTTCTGGATGGTGGAGTAATCCCGTCTACGACGGCGGCCCCTCCCTGCTACTAGATTAATGAGAGCGTTACGAAGGTTGCTGCGTGCAAAACCGAAATATCGGCGAATTTGTAGTTGATTGTTTTGTTTTTACGTTAAGTGTTGCAGTGAAATATACTCAAGTCTTTATTCTTTATTAATGATGTTCATTATTTAATAGCTTAGTAACGGAAACATTAACATAAATATTATCAAAAATGGGATTGTAATCAGAAAGACGTAGTCTGAAGAGTTGTGACTAATTGTGGTACCACATATAATTTGGGATTTTTCTTGTTAAGTTCACACCAAACAATTAGCTAATCATTCTTCCACATAAACCTAACCTAATATTAGTTAATCATCAAAAGTAAAAATATTTGTTCTGGTCATGAATAGTTTACATTTTGTATTATTTTTAAATAAATGGTTCATTGTGCTTTTAAAGGGATACATGTTCATACAATATCAAATTTAATTGATAATTCCGTATAGTTGTTAATATATCCACCATTACAAATTAGTTTATGACTATTAAAATCAAATTTTATACATTTTAAATAGCTCAGATAACCTACTTATTTGTTATATCCCCGCCATGCATTGTATACAATTATAACATTAACAACATATTTGATTGAAAATAAATAATAATCAACTGCGCATATTGAATACAAACATATAATATTATCTTAAATACTGATTTGTTTACTAGCTCGAATTTTGGACGATCTTGCAAACGTATTTTTGGATAGTTCATCTGCAGGTTGGAGTAATAAACACGACAATGGTATCACAGCTACAGAATCAAGAGGAGACGAATCTAAACGAAATCGTTTTCAGATATGTGCAGATGATTATGTACGTAACTATATGATTATAGTTAAAAGTAAAAGCATGCATTAAAGAACATACAGTATACAGTATCATTGTGGCTTCTATTACTCCCACAGTGGGAGAGAGAGAACAAAAAATTAAAATTAAAAAATTGGATGCTACTCATATTTAACTCATTTTTTTTCTACCCCCTTTTTAACATATTTTATTAATCATGATTCATAAATGTTAACAACTACTACTAAACTTTTGTAAATTCTGATAGATTGAAAAGTATTATGTTCATATATCTTTATTGATTTATCGAGGTTAACCTATAATTATCATAAAATGGATCCACCTTGGATATAATATTGTTAGTTATTAGTTATTAGTTAATTACTTAATATATTATGTAAATTGTTGACATAAATTATTTATAATAAATTTTAGGCGCACAGATTACTAGCGGATACTTTTAGAAATAAAGCATTGGCACGTCCAGAAGTTTGTGATCAAAGTACAGGAGTTTCCTATAACATTCGTAAAAAAGATGGCAGCAATTACAGTGTTCGCAAGACAATACTACCACAGTGCAATAATAGAGATCTTCAATGTACCATGTGCCCATTAGATAAATCCAAATTAGTAGTTAACACATTAATTGAATTGAAAGATTAAACAGTTCAAAATTCTACATCAAATTTAGTAGGTATCAGAATTCGATAATATTTCTTGGAGGAATGAATAATGTGAATTTGATTGGTTATTTAAATTATGTAAACTAAATTTAATAAAATTAAGCCTACTTCCCTATACAATTCGACTAAATTTCGAATCGTATTTCTAATAAAGTTCAACTTAATAACAACAAATTATTTGATTATTTTCATAATCGAAAAGGTATGCGTATGACTATTTTATATACCTATTTTATTTTTGTTTTATTTTTTAAGGCTAAACGGACTAAGCCCTTTTTACAAGTGCAATAAATTGTTATCCACACAACTTAAGTTGAACAATATATTAACGTAGATAGATATACGATGAGCAGGTCTAGGATAAGATTCTAGAAACGTTAATTACTTTAAGCCGTTTGATAAAAGGAGATGACAAGGATTTTTTTCTATATTGAATAATGAATTAATCATTTTCAAATAAATTGTTTGTATTTACTGGTGATATCTTCAAGGTGTAAATATTATATTTTATAAAAATTTTACGAAGTAATTTGTCCTAACCTAACTGTGGTCTTTAGAAAGTACTTTCTTAATGCACTCACAAGTTGTTCAAGATGACGTTCCAGCTTTTAAGCTAATACAAATCAGGTTGAGGTTTAGAACTACATCAATCCGATTGGCGATTTAATAATCAATTTTAACCTAACCTAACCTAACCTTAAATACAGAAAACGAATTTCTTCAAACCGTGAGTTACTCTGATAATAATAATATACTATGTAACTGTGTTTTTATCTTGCAGAAAGCCACTTACCTATTTATCGATGGTTATTTTTTTAACTGAAACAATCAAATAGTTAAAAAGATATCACATCCCCATGAATAGTTTAAAGAGTAAATTAAAAAATTGAATTTAACATGAAAAATGTTATATTGTTACCAAGCTTTGATTACCAACGATGTTATTTTATTAGTCCGAATCATAAAGAAATAAATACATTGTTGTGACAGTGACTATTATTCCAAGTACATATGTAAATTATGCTCCAAAATTTGATTATCATACCAAAAATGTTGTTTCGGGTTATGAATTAAATAAAACTATAATGCAAGTACTACTAGAATTTGAATGATTCTCGATGGCCATCGATATCAACGCGCGGATGCCACGCGTTAAAGCTAATTAAAGCCATGCACAGTCATAATATTTGTATTCGACAACAACATGTCCACATCCAAAAGACACTTGTGAAACGCAAGATCCGGTTCAAGACAACAGATCAGGAATAAACTTTTAAGGGAGCCCAGAGTGCAACAGAATTAGATGTACCATAACCGTTGAGTCCTAAGAACATTCATAGTCTAGTGTTGGAACCATGATTGAAATATACAAGGTTATTGCATATATACCCCCTCTCAATCAAATATTCGATGATAAAAACAAAAATGGCAGCGTAAAGGGAGTTAATAATAATCAATTTGTATGCGAGCTTATTTTTCATGATCAGAAAAATTGATATTTGTAATTTGTGATATCTCTTTACGCAGCCATTTTGTTTCAGAAGATAACAATCTGATTCGATATGCAATAACCTGTATATTTCAATCATGGTTGGAACTATCCAAATACTTGGATATTTTTAAATCCAGATAAAATCCGATTATATTCGGGTATTTGTATACTATTCGGATATATTAGGGTATTATACTATTTGGATACATTCGGATAATCGTACTATTATGATATTGTATGATATATTTTGTAATAACAACGATAATACCAAAAAATCATTGTATGTTATAACAAAATAAATATTATAAATTATAATATTATATAATTAAGAGAAAACGTAAGACAATAAACAGATATTATTTAAATAATAAATAACAAATAAAATAGGTAAAAGAACAGTAGTACACTCAAAAATACTTAATTTAAATCTTAAACATTATTATTTTGCTTTAAACTAGAGTGGAAACATTTCTTGCATTTAATCTAATACGTTTTTATGTAACAATATTTCCAGCGGTAGAAAAAACTTTCAGAAGATGCTGATGATGCAGGTATGCATAAAATATTTTTAGCGACCTTTGTAATTGTTGGATATATTGTTTCGTGTTCTTCCACCACATGCATGGATCTAGATTGTGGTTAATCTGAATTTCAGAAATATACTGTTCAAATTCATTACATGAAATGTCAGCTTCCCCAAGTAGTATATCCATAGCCGTTGTGTTTTTGTTAATTTGACCATGATCGTTTTCATATGTTCATATGTTTTCCTCGTAGCTTTGAATAAGAAATTTGACAGTGTGTCGAATATGTTCCTTAACGTTCTCAGAAGTTTCGTGGTTCAAATTTTTATGTCTAGGATCTAATAAACATGCAAATACACTTACTTTTGGTTTCCCAATTAATATATTGTCATTATGAATACCAAATCCAAAACGTTCAGACAATTCATTTGAAACTATAGATTTAAATTTGACTGTTAATTCATTGTCGCTAGTATTTATTTTTAATTTATTTGACAACAAGCTACTTATTATAGGCCTTACAATGGATATGGTCACTTTTTTATCAGCGCAAAGGACGCTTGTTGCTAATTCTAATGGTTTCAAAAGTACTATTAAATTGCTGCAGTCATCTTCCATAAACTCGAGTTTTTTTCATAAAATATGATTCATCTGCCATTAGAGCAACTATTGCTGACCGCACTTCGACTAAACATTCAAACATATGTAACGTTTAATTCCATCGAGTTGGACAACATTGAATTAAACGTAAATTCGGTTTACCATTGTTTATGAGATAAGACTCTAATGCTGTTGTTCTTTTATACGAGTGTTTGAAGGCAGACACTATTGACGAAGCCTTTTTGGAAATAACTATACATTCATCAATTAATAATCCTTTGTTCACCGCTAGTTGTAATGTATGGACAGCACATGGCATACTTCTACAGCCTTCATTTGTATCTTCTTGTAACTTTTTTATTGCTTTAGTAATATTGTACGCGTTATCATGTGTAATACCAGACACTTTTCCATCCACATTCCAATTCTCCGTAACTTCTTGAAGAGTTTCTTTTAAATATTCTGAAGTATGATTTTTGGATAGTTCTCCTGTATACGTCATATTAAAACAATGTAACATCCAATCATTATCAATAAAATGTCAAGTAATCGTAATATATGAATCTATGCCTAAAGATGTCCTAGCATCTGTAGTTATTGCTATTTCACTTGTGGGACGTATTTTTTCTTTTATTGAATTAAATTTGTCTTCATATAAGTTGTGGATACGGTTTTTAATATTTTTTCTTGGTGGTATAATAAACTAAGGTTCAATTACGTCTAAAAATTATTTAAGTAAGAATTAAAATTAAAAATGTTATTTAAAAACTGTAATATAAAAGGTAATCGATCAAAAAGTCAGGGAATATATTTTATAATCTTGACAAAAAGTCCGACAATTTTTTTTTTTTACACGCTGTATATACCACATTGTACTTGAAATAAAACTAGATGCAATTATTCTTACCATAATATTAATACATATTATTTTTATAAATTATTAAAGTTAACACCGTTATATAGTAAATGTGTATTAATTTATTACCAGGATCCATCAACAATAATGGAAAAATAATAGTATAAAAATATTAGCTAAGCTTAAATAAATTATTAATAAATATAAGTAACTAAATAGGTACGCATCGGCAACACGACGCTGGACAGTCGTTGATGGTAATAATAATAATGATAATAGATAATAATAATAATAATAAATAAATCAAAAAAAATCAAAAAAAATCACAAAACATTGTTTTCCCTAAAATAATGGCTTATGCTGTTCAAAAAGTCCACAGTAGGGATTTTACTGTCTCTAATTTTTTAACACAATCTGTGTATCCTTTCATTTTTTTCTGAAGTCTGGAAAATCTAATTTCATTTTAAGTATATAATGTGCATATACAATGTGTAAAAAAAAATTTATCGGACTTGTCCAGATTATAAAATACGATTGCGCGCGGTCCTTATCAGCGGTACCTTTTTAGGCTTACGATTGCGCGTGCTATATTATTTTTATTTCTAAGCAATGTTGCCAAATACACAGATTATAGGTGCACGGTAAACATCTGAAAATCAATCACTACTTTTTAAAATTGAAATATTACACATTGATTTTGAAATTGGTGCTATTGAAGCAACAAAAGATGTTTTTCCGTACGTCAAAATTAAAACTTGCCGTTTTCACTTGGGACAAGCTTGGTGGCGCAAAGTAAGTTGAATCAATATGAATATTTTTCGAAATAATTAATCAAAATCAATTTTCAGATTAATATTATTTTATTATAACGATTTTTTTGTTATGGATTTAACGAGATATAATTTAACCAAATTATTATTTGTATATAATGTGATTTGTATTGAAATTGATGATTTTCAATCGTGTACAAAATATTATTGTTTTTTTTTTTAATTTTTTGACCTAAAAAATTGAATTTAGAAGATATCACTGGGCTAGTCAAAAATTTGTTTTTTTTTATAATAATAATAATTTTATATTTAAATAATAATTTGGCAACGTCGCATCCAATTTCAAGCGCAATCGTACGCTTTTGCATAGGTAAAAGCATGATTATTTGTTATTCCGGCACCACGCGCAATCGTATGCCCAAAAAGGTAAAACGCACGCTATCGTACTCCACCGATTCAACATCCCAGCTTCTAATCGCTTACCCATAATAGATTCTTCTAATATTCCCCCGTCAGAGTTTCGTCCATATCCACCGACATCTATACAAATAAACTTATAGTCTGGGTCCACAATTGCCATTAATACGACTGAAAATTTTTTTAAATAACAAAAGTTTCTGGATCCACTATTATTAGGACATTTAATTGTCACGTGTTTCCCATCTCTCGGCGTAGGGAAAGTAGCGCGCCCATCGCCCAATGTACCTTAGTACATTGCAATAGCCCTACCCTGACCTTAATTGGTTGGGGTAGTCTGGTCCTCTAGGTTGGGGGTTGATTGTAGGGTTAACAACCCTACATCAGAAAAAAAACATGTTAAGAAACCACAAAATAAGCCTCGGAATTGGATTAATGGACAACGACCGGAACTGGAAAATGGAATAAAAATTGGTACATGGAATGTTAGGACCTTAAACAAACCTGGAGCGTTACAGTACTTACTGGACGCTATTAAAAAATATAATATGAACATATTAGCTCTGCAAGAAATTAGATCGCCAAATGACGGAAATATGAAAAAATATGATAAAACCATATTCTATAGCGAAAGAATGGAAAACATGAAAATGGTGTGGGTTTTGTAGTGAGCGATGATACGCTACCACAAGTAAAAGAATTCACGGCAGTAAATGACCGAATATGCTATATCCGACTCTCAGGTCACATTTTTGATAGCATTATCGTAAACGCTTATGCACCAACTGAAGAGAAAGAAGAAAATATTAAGAATGAGTTTTACGATGAACTAGGGCACATACTTGACACAACACCAAATAGCTGTATAAAAATATTAATAGGTGACTTTAACGCAAAAATAGGAAAAGAAGATATATATAGACCAACGATTGGACCGAATAGCTTACATGACGTAAGTAACGATAATGGAACCAGATTGATCAACCTATGTATAACGAACGGTTTTACCCTTAGTAGTACATACTTTCCAAGGAAAGATATATACAAACAAACTTGGATGGCACCTAATAGAATAACTAAAAACCAAATTGATCACGTTTTGATACAAAATAAGCATAAAGGATGCATAAAAAGTGTCAGGAGCTATAGAGGTGCAGACGCCGACTCGGATCATTACCTGGTAATTACAAAACTTAAAATTAGACTATCTGAAAGATGGAAAAAGGTAAAATATGTAAAATCCGTAAAATACGATATAGAAAAACTGTCAGCAAAGAAGGTTTTAGAGGAATACGTATATAAAACTCAACAAGAATTACAAAAATCCAACAGTAATGCAGATAAAGATGGAGAACGGATATGGGACAGAATCAAGACGGCGGTAGTCAATAGTGCTAATAATTGCCTAGGAATAAGAAAACGAGAAAAAAGAAAAGAATGGTTTAATGATAGGTGTAAGGAAGCAATAGACAGAAGAAACCGCATACGAGAAAAAACTATCAAGGACCCAAGTGACATAAATATGGAAAGATTTAAAAATACTAAAAAAGAAACCAATAAAGTACTAAGATGTGAAAAAAGATTAGCAGAAAAAAGAAAGATTGAGGAAATTGAAGAAAATAAAAATAACTCCAGAAGATTCTTTAGCAAAACTGCCAACATTAAACAGGGATTTAAACCGCAGACTAGGATCCTAAGGAATGAACTAGGTGAGTTAGTAACAAAAGAAGAATCTGTAGTAGAAGAATTTAAAAAACATTTCGAAAGATTACTAAATAAAACACCACCAATACCAACACATGAAGATATACCTATGCAATATAGTACAGCGGAACCATATATTAAGACTCCAACAAAACAGGAAATCTATAACATCATAAAAAAAACTTAAAAACAACAAATCACCTGGAGAAAACAACGTAGTTGCGGAATTATTAAAAAATGGAGGAAATGCGATTAAAGATGAAATTTGGAAAATGATTAAGGAAATTTGGGAAACCGAAGTAATGCTAGGAGAGTGGAACACGGCAATACTATACCCAATATTTAAAAAAGGAGACACTTTAGACCCAAAAAATTACAGAGGAATCTCATTATTGGATACTTGTTACAAGATATTGTCAACGCTCCTTTTGGAAAGAATAACGCCATATGCAGAGGGTATCATCGGAAGATACCAGTGTGGCTTTATAAAGGGGAAATCCACTATCGACCACATTTTTACCTTAAGACAAACAATGGAGAAATACTACGAATTTGACATGGATTTATATATGATATTTGTTGACTACAAACAAGCTTATGATAGTGTGAACAGACAGGAATTATGGAAAGCAATGTTACATTTTGGAATTCCGAAAAAATATGTAAATTTAGTAAAGATGTGTAATGACAAGACTATACTGAAAGTACGTTTTCTTCAGACACTATCACCAGCCTTTGAGGTTAATTCTGGATTACGACAGGGAGATGCCCTATCCCCAACATTGTTCAATCTGGGACTAGAAAAAGTTATTAGAGAAGCTTACGAAGACAGAAGAATGGAAGTTATTGGTGAAGAAACTATCTTAGCATATGCTGATGATATAGTTCTTTTAGGTAATACGCGAGAAGAAATTTCCCACTCACTCTCTAAACTAATAGAAGTCAGCAAAAACATGGGTTTATGTATCAACGAAGAAAAAACTAAACTTATGATACTATCGAGAAGAAACGTAGATCAATCAAACCTGAAAGTGGGAAGTATGAATTTCGAAAAGGTGGATAATTTCAAATACTTGGGTGTTAATATAAACAACAGCAACAACATTCATTTGGAGATAAAAGAAAGAATATCAAATGGAAATAGGTGTTACTTCAGTATAAACAAACTATTGAGATCAAAACTGCTATCAAGAAAGTCTAAAACCACTTTTTACACAAGCTACCTTAGACCAGTAGTAACCTATGGGTGTGAGACCTGGTCCACAACAAAAGATAATAATAAAAAACTTGCTATATGGGAAAGAAAAATACTAAGAAATATATATGGACCAGTCTACAACGACAACCTAGGAATATATGAAAAAAGACACAATGAAGAACTGTATAACCTGTATGAAAAACCAAATATACTCACATATATAAGATGTAAACGCCTAGAGTGGTTAGGACATGTATGGAGAGCGGATGGAGATTTATTAAAAAATGTTCAACTAACTAAAAAACTAAATTATAAAAACTATAAAAACTATAAAAACTAAACTATAAAATCTTTTTCAGCTAGACGGCAAGCAATAGCTAAAAACAAAATAGCTAAATTGATAAGGTAACTAGAGTTGGAACAAATCGATGAAGACACAGCAACATCATCTTCGTCTCAGTCGTCTCACTATAGCATGCCATCAGTGACTCCAACGAGTCCTACGCCGTCGATTATGAGCAATTATAATAGTGCTGACAATTTAGATGCAATGTACTATCAGTTGTAGTCAATTTTATTTTTTTTATTCTAACAATTGGATATAAATACTAAACATTTTATATATTATTATAGTATTTATCATTTATATATTAGTATAACCTACCTTAAAGCAATAGCGAGACGTTCAGGGGGAGGTATTGGCACACGAAAATGAGTCGTTTCTTTACGTATATCTTCATTAATACAATTTAAAATTGCATCAAAACAATTTGATGTCATTCGAAAATAAATAAAAAATCGTTTTGCATCATTTCGTAATTGAGGCATTAAATGATTAAATTCACCTAAACTTTCTCTTTGGCTTTTAATTTCATGAACCCATTTTCGTCTTTTACGTCCAAAAATTAAATATTACATGTTTTTTTTATTATTTGTTATTGTAACAGCACACACTGTATTTATAAACAGTTGTAGCTAATATATTATAATTAGTGTTAGGATGTTAATGACTTTCGTCGTCTTTCGTTTGATAACATCATACATATTTTAATTGTACAGTGCAACAATGCAATATGAATATTAATATATTATTATCACATCAATATATTCAATATCCTAACTCTAATTATAATATATTATAATTTTTTGAGAGCTATAAGTCCCTAAGCCTAATTATAATCTAATGGTACCTTTTTTGTTCTTCATCATCCATTACAGCTGCTAACAGTAATACATCTTTTTCGTCTGAACTTGAGTTTTCATAATAAATATACATGGTATGATAACAATTTTAAAAAAATATAGAAATATGTTGTTTTGTACTTTTAAATATTAATATTAGTAAAAAAAATATAATACGTAATAACAAAATACATGTGCGCGCATAGGTGTCACAATGCCGACTAGTAATTTTTGGCGAAATATTTTTTAGGTTAGGTTAGATCAGCGGTATTTAAAAAGCGATAAATACCGCTGCCGCTACCGCTTCGGTTCGAGCGAACCTTAATACTTTTCTATCGTTTTCGGTAAAACACGTCTTCTCTCAATTTTGATTGTTATTTTATTAACTAGCTTATGAAGTCAACGCATCTCTGAAAAGATCCTACTTATGGCCTTATATAAAAGTATTAGAACTTAAAACTAATATGAGAGTGCTATGTACAGATCAAGATAATATAAATTATATCAAAGATTTACTTTTAATAGGCAAAGGCGAATTTCAAGCAACGAATGATAAAATAAATATTAAAAGTTTCTGTAATTCAGTACCCACTATAACAAAATTGATTCAAAACGTGTACCCGAACATTCAAAATATATCTTCTAAATCATTGAAATAGTTTCAAGAAAGGACTATTTTGTCACCTACAAATGAGCAAGTCAACAAATTAAATGATTTGATTCTATCTAGGTTTGGCGCTCAATCACAAATGTACTATTCAGTTGATACAGTTTTAGAAAAAAGAGGATGCAGTCCATTTCCAAACTGAATTTCTTAACTCTTTAACGCCTTCTGGAGTTCCACCGCATACACTGATTTTAAAAATAGGGCCACCTATTATTTTAATGAGAAATTTGAGCCCACCCACACTTTGCAACGGTATAAGATTACAAATCAAAAAATTGAGAAGTTTATTACTTGAGTGTATAATATTAACAGGCTGTGGTAATGGAAAAATTGTTTTAATACCAAGAATACCAATTATACCCTCAGATTTACCTTTTAAGTTTAAACGTATTCAATTTCCCGTTAAATTAGCATTTGCAATGACTATAAATAAAGCACAGGGACAAATCTTAACTTGCTGGAATTGACTTAAGCGTTCAATGTTTTTCTCACGGTCAACTATACGTCGCCCTGTCACTCGTGACATCCAAATTTAATTTGTATACTTTTGCCCCCGATCCAGAAAAAGTTGATAAAGTTGTTTACAAAGAAATTTTTTAAGTCTTTGAATTATCAAAATACTGGCATAATTCATATCTTTTGTTCTATCCATAGTTATACCTACAAAATGTACATACACAATTTACATGCAATATACATATACATTTATCACTACATAAAAAATATTTTTTTTTAAAGATTATGAAGAATCCGCGGTGGCGACGCTAAATTTATATGGCTACATTACCACGAAGACGTGACTAAAAGTGGTCTAAAATAAAAATAATTATTTAACATACAGAAAATAAATAGCAATTTAATACCTGAGAAATCTTGCAATAGCGAAGAATTGCCGGGTCAGCTAGTTAGTATACCTTTAAAAGTATTTCTCATTAGTTTGTATTTTTTTTTTTAAGTATAATAACTCATGTCATGTAATTAAAGTGCATATTGGTAACTATATAGTTGTAGAGATGTTTGTAATATCATATAAAAAAAAATTGTATTTATTTGGGTAATTCACAATACATTTTATTTCTTGTCTTATATTATACTATTAGTTATAATATTGATTTATTTTGTATTGGTTAAACCTTTTATAAAAACTTGCTTTGAAAACCACCAGAACCGTTAAGAGGACGCTACATCCGCATGTGTTGTCTCCGTCTTACAAACGTAGAACATTGCAAAAACATATTTTGCGCGGGAAAGAACCGAGAAAGCTACAGTCATAATTAAGAAACGAAATTTTCACCACATAAAAAGGAGAACGTTGGCTGTGCAATATCGTTTTTATATTTTCGATATCGGAAGTACAAAAAAAGTTATTCAAGTTTGAAAAATACAAAAACAAATGTATTTTGAAACAATAATAACTTTTTTCATATAAGTGATATCGAAAAAATAAAAACGATATTGCACAGCCAAAGTTCTCCTTTTTATGTGGTGAAAATTTCGTTTCTTAATTATGACTGTAGCTTTCTCGGTTCTTTCTCGTGCAAAATATTTTTTTGCTATGTTCTACTTTTGTAAGACGGAGACAACACATGCGGGTGTAGCGTCCTCTTAAGGCGTACAGTATTAGCACGTACACATGGAAGGAAAATCATGTGTTCAAAGTATCGATATGGGAATCGATTAGAGACAATTCCAGAAGTAATAATTCTTTTGATAAACTAAACCAGGGATGGCACGTTACATGTTAAAACTATCTAATATTTTTACCCTAAGTGTCATTGAATTATGAAAAGTATATATGTTTGTGTATTATAAGAAAAAATGGTGGTCTATAATTATTTTTTATTAAAAATAAAACAAAAAAATTATTATTTTCATTTTTCGCTTGCCCTTTGCATGTTTCGAGTGCCATGTTGGTTACTTCACGCATGCCATGGATTTGCCATCCTTGTACAATACTATTTATTTTTGCTATAACATAAACTTATATGGAATTTTTTTAAGGTAGAACAAAATATAACAAATGAATCAACAAATTTGGTCCTAGGTAATCTATTTATAAATATATATATAATATAATGGTATTTCCTTGACTAATAAACGAATAACTGTGAAACTTAATATTGCCTTTTGGTTTTACTAC